CCGATCTTTATGAAACTTGGTTTTTGGTGCCTAGGAATGTTACCTTAAATTATATAATTACTTTCACTATCCTAGCTACAATAGAAATATCCAAAGGCAAACATATATCAGTTATACCAATACATAGTGTATAGTTAAATATGGAAAAATGTGTTTATTTTCCAATGGAAGAGAATTTTTAAATTCTAGTGAATAAAAAATTAATGTCTTGTATCACATAAACTAACCTTATAATTGAAAATACAATAAACATTTAATGAAATAAAATTGATTAAAAATCAAAATTATTTTAAGTAATTACTTTATTACAAATTAATATAAAATTCTAAAGTTTTTATTTTTACTTTTATTAAATAATTTGTAAATAAATTGTACAATTATATAACTGTACAAATGTTAACAATTGTCTAATTAATAAATACACAGATAATTAGTATTCAATGAATTTTAATCATTTAATTACTCATTAACAAATACATCACATAATAAATAATTTATTGATATATTATATTTAATAATGCGTTTAAAAGTAATATAAAAATATTTTGTAAAAACATAATTTAAATTAANCTTTTATTAAATAATTTGTAAATAAATTGTACAATTATATAACTGTACAAATGTTAACAATTGTCTAATTAATAAATACACAGATAATTAGTATTCAATGAATTTTAATCATTTAATTACTCATTAACAAATACATCACATAATAAATAATTTATTGATATATTATATTTAATAATGCGTTTAAAAGTAATATAAAAATATTTTGTAAAAACATAATTTAAATTAATAATGTGGAAAATTTGTTTATTTGTAGCGCTAATCTAGAATATAAATTATAAGATTTTACAAATGGACTCAAATAGTTATCACAACACAGTTTAGTACATATTAATACTTTATTAGTGCGTTTATGTCAAATAATTATCATATCTATAAAACACTACTAAACAATACAGTGTAGTATTAATGAAATAAAATAATCTATTATATAACTTTTAAATAATTATACATTAAGTACACTTTATAAATAGTATATAAAGAAACATTTAATGTTTGATTTTATAATTAAATTAATTGTGTTTATATTAAGTAATATAACTTTTGTTGTAAATTATTCTACAATTACTTATATTAATTTGCTTTATAATGAATCCTGATCGTGATGTAGAAATCAAATACACCAAGGTATATTAAGTTTTATTGAAAAATTAAACAACATTTTGATAATATTATGTGCAAGATGTAATTAATTTTTATTTATTTTGTTTAATAAAAATTATATCAGATATTCATAAACAATGAATTCGTGGATTCCGTGAGTGGGAAGACATTTGAGACGATAAACCCGTCCAACGGTCGCGTCATTACACGACTACAGGAGGGCGACAGACATGACATCGATAAGGCTGTGGCCGCCGCTCGCAATGCTTTCAAACGGGTTTGCATTCAAATCAATTTAATAAAACATTTAATTTAATTGTAATTAATTTATAAACATTTGTTGTTAGGATTCAGTTTGGCGTAAAACAGACGCTTCTAAAAGGGGTAAACTTATAAATAAATTGGCGGATCTGATTGAGAGGGACAGCCATTACTTGGCCTCATTGGAGACCATCGATAGCGGAAAGCCATACCGAGGATCGCTGTACGATGTGTTGGGAAGTGTGGCATATCTGCGATATTACGCCGGATGGGCGGACAAAGTGTGCGGCAAAACCATACCAGTCGACGGCCCAAACTTTGCCTATAGTAGACTTGAACCGATGGGCGTTTGCGGATTTATAACACCCGTCAGTAACTGTTTGTAATATTTTGTAAAATTATAATTATATAGTAAATTATGCCCAATATTTAGTGGAACGCAGAGATGTTAACATTAATGAGCAAATTAGGCCCCGCTTTGGCCACCGGTAACACAGTTGTGGTCAAACCCGCCGAACAGGTTATTCATAAAAGTTTTATTACAATTTATAAAATAGTAAATTTCAATCTTATAATTACAGACA